TTTTTGTTCATTACAGAAGTGCCCTGTTGAGGACAAGGAAACTGGGATGGGGTGAACACCCAGCACTGTGCCATGTGTATGTGTTGATTTTTTAATTTGATCTAAAGTGAAGAAACCTTCAAGTGAGAGAATTAATAGTAAAATCACAACTAGAAAACTAATAGTTAGACTCCTAATTCTAAATTCCATCCACTTAACCCTGTTGCTTCTATAAATGTGTCTGGGTGAAAAAGCTAATTGTTCCTCCAGAACCCATAAATGCCTAAAACGGGATCCTCTATTTCTTCCTGGTCTGTGGAAAGCAATGCTGCGGCCTTTTTTCTTTGAAATGGGAATGGCTACTCGGCCTTCTGAAAAAGAATATGTTTCAGACAACTTTCATAAAGTTCAGAATTTGGTGGGCAGTTTCCTTTGAAAGTTTACATTAAGTGTTCTGCCACTCAAGTCTCCATATGGAATTGTTTAAGAAGTTTAAAGCCTAGCAATAAATGCCTGGCCTCAGACATACTGTAAGCCTTTGTCTATTGAAATGCAGCAGCTGTTTCATTACTTAAACATACCAGGTAACAGCAGCACAAAGAAATAGCAAGTTTATGACAAACGGTTGTTCTGGGCAGGCTACAGCCAAAGCAGCAGAATTTTGTTCAGGGCTTTAAAGCTAACGTCCACATAACACCCCATGACAAGCTTATTGTGATGGTCTCTTCTCTGTAGCTCACCCGACCAGAAATTCTCCATCAGAAAATCAAAGAGGTGGATTCAGCTTTATTCTAAAAATGTGCATGGCAAAATGGCATATAATTCTGTTTGAACATGTTGGACAATAACTCGTTGGATACTCATTTGTTTTCCCCAGCTTATATTAATAAATGAAGAAATTGAGGCTCCAACAGGTTGACTTGCCCAAGATCACACAGCTGGGGGACGCAGAGTCAAGGTTGAGATTCAGGTCTTCTCATTCATAGCCGATGTTGTCTCCATTTCAGAATCAGATAATGCGCATGACAGGGTTAGGAGAACTCTAAGTCAGCCCTCTCCAGCTAGAGGCCTCCTACCCCCACAGGGTATACGTGGGTTACCTTCCTAGAGGGTTAATTGTACTTGAGTATTTAGTCAGGATTTGTTTGAATATGAGAAACATTGTTTTAAAGCTTACAAACCCAGATAATACGAAATAGAATGTGGACATTTTATGAGTTTTTTAAAAAAATCAAACATGAAACCTAAAGGCATTTCACACTTGGGGTGTGCGCAGCCTGAGCCCCTGCAGCCCTGGAGGTCCACACTCTCTCTCCAGCCATTGGCACTTTGGTGGAAAATTAATAACATGTGCCCTAGTTTCAAAACTCACTGTAACTTTAATGTGTATGAAGTAAAGTGTTATTTTAAATGTTCATTATTCGAGGGGAAAGTACATCTTAAATACCAGAGCTTTATTCTGGTATTTAGGGCACTGATTTGTTTCCGCCGGCCAAGAATTCAGCATACCGCTCAAGACAAAGATCTCGGCCAGGACCCCAAAACCCCACTGTCCTGTCCTTGTCCCCAGCCTCCCACTATCACTCCCTGCCCGCGGCGACACTCTCCTGCTTTCTTGTATCATAGATTAGTTTTACTTGTTGTTGAATTTTGGAATCATAGAGTGTGTCCCTTTTTCTTCTAACTTTTGCTCAATGTTACATTTGTGAGTCAAAGGATGTTATTTTCAAAGAAGGAAAACTTCCTTGGTCTTTAGCAGAACTAAATCCCTGGGAAAAGCAAAGGAGGCTTAAGTAGGTATGAGAGAATTATGAGATCTCAGAGACCCACGAAATTCTAACCAAGCCTCCTCCCCAAAACTAAACAAAATTAAACTTCTCAATTAAATTTTGATGTATTAGTATGTGAATGAGAGATAGCATTGTGGATTGTGTTCCATACTGCGACCCTCCCCATTCTGGAAACAAAGAGGCATCAGGGAAATGGTTTCCTTGGTAACCAAACTGTATGAAAACCCTAGAAATGTCTATTTGTGAAGGTTTTAAAATGGTCTTAGTCATAACAAAGAAGGTTTAAGGTTCAAACATATCACAGGTTGCTAGAGAAGGGTTAAAGTAAGAAAGAGAGGAAAACATGTGGAACGTTTTTAATGACCTCACATTCCTTTACACTGAGCAGAGCGGCGCAGCGCAGTAATGCCTGTTTATCTAGCCTGGAGAGTTTGAGCTGGAATGAGGTTTTGTGTGTGAGAATTTTTGCAAACCGTACAAAGATATATAGGTTATAAGGTGTTATAATTAAAAACATAAATATTATTTCAAATCTCACATTCAAGTATAATTACTTTGTTATGTTCCGTGAACTGTTTTCTAAATGCTATCATCTAAAAGGGATCCACTTGGCCTCTAATTGTTGTGCAGAATCCTTGATATTTATATTTGTACCGCTGACCTACAGACTGCTCAGAAAGTCCCTGAAGTGTCTGGAAAGTCCCCCTACCTTTGTTCCAAACTCAAGTTGTAGCGCCACAAAGCTAGGTTAGCAGGAGGAAAGGAGAGGAGTCCCTCTAAAATTTGGCTTAAATGCAAAATGTTAACCTATTCTCTGTATTTATGTCACTCGATACCTGCACCATTGCAATAGCTTTCTATTGTCCCCCTGCCCCTATGTACCTAATGCCAATCTAGCCTATATACAGTAAAAATAATAGCTTTTGTTTATCGATCACTAACTGTATGCTAGGATCATGCTCGGCAACTTATATTCCTTCTTTCACTTAATCTTCATGACAACTCTTGAGGTCGCTACTACCATTATTCCTATTTTACAGATGAGGAACTTGAGACTCAAAGAGTTTGAGGTTTTTTTTTGCCCAAGAACAGTAAATGTTAGAGCTAGGACTCAAATCCAGAGTTTTCTGATTCCAAAGCCTACGTTCTGAAACCCACTGTGCTGTATTGCCATTTTCTCGCAAGCTAATAATACTCATATTATTTTAGAACATTGCCAAAGCTTTTGCTTAGTAGGCAACCTTTAGCGTGTAACATTTGGATGTGAAAGATTCGAGACAGATCCTTTGATCAGAATGCTGAAACAGGCCCTCATTTTACATCGTGGTTTGTTTGACGGTTGATTCTTAATTCAGATCTGCTTTAAATCTACTCTTGGAAGAATATTCTTTAGAATTGTGTTTAATAGATTCTAAGTGATACTCCAGTAAGATGTAAAGTTTCAACGGAGCTTAACCCAACTGATGGTCAATGCCAGGAAAATTGTCTGGTTTTGAGTTCTGAATTGCACCATCTATCCAAGTGCATACCCAACAATGGAAAATTTGTGCAAATGTCCATGACTCCTTGGGTACCTGCAGGTGTGTTCAGAAGTGAATAAAAATCTTTAAGGAGGGCAATGAAATATTCCTAAAGCCAAATCTACTACCTTTCCTCTAAATCTGACTTACTTTCTTGACATTTCATTTCGCGTTCTCCCACTGCTCCAAACGTCAGTGCTTGAAATGTCTTTGATTGTTCCTTTCTTCCTTGCCCTTCACATCCAAAGAGCACCAAGTCCAGTTGATTTTTCCTTTATAATGAAATTTATTTATTTTCATTTGTAATGACCCATCTTTTCTATTCTACTGCAACATTGCTAAATTAAACCCTTATCTCATGAATGATCTACAATAACTTTCTAACAGATTTGTCTCCACTATCTCCCTTGCAAATTCTTTTTCAATCACAGCCAGATTAATTTTCCTAAAAACTCTCATTTATTGTTTCACTTGCTTGCTTAAAATGTTTCCATGGCTCCCCACTATTGAGTGGATAAAGTTCAAACACATTTTCCTTGGCATTCAAGGCCTTCACGTCTGTCCTAGGTTTCCTGGCCAAATTTACATTCCACAACCAACAGACATAAACCTTTACTCCACCAAACAGTTCCCTGAATACATCTTGTATATTAGATGACTTCCACATTTAATCAGTTCACAAAATATGTGCAGGAAACACTTTTTATTTCAAAACAATGAAGCTGTGATTTAGCTGAATTGTTTTATTAGTGGAATTATTCACATGTTTTAATACCTTTAAAAGATTACAAAGCTATATGTTTTAGACTCTTGTCATTTCTGAGTAACAAATTTAACTATAATCCAGGAATTCTGAGTAGCTGACAGGTATTCTGTTGTCTGCGTGAACTTGTAACAATTAAATATACTGTCTTAGAAATATCCTTAGAGATATTCAGTGACTCTAGATAAGAGGTAGCTTTCTCATGTAACAGAGAAACTGAAAAATCCAAATTAGTTTATTTTGCTAGACTTACTTAAGTTAATTGATCTACTTGCTGCACCACTCTAATAATGTTCAAACATAAATTGTCTTTTCTAAGCGCTCAATCACAGTGGGATAATTGGGTAGTGGAATGAGCACTAGACTTCAAGTCAGAAGATTTTGGGTTCAACTTAATGCTGTGTGACCTTGGGCGAGTTATTTAAACTCTCCAAACTTGTTTATGCGTCTGTAAAATTGGAATAATAATACATGTTTCATCAGTGTGTGGTAAGAATTAAGTCATATAACTTGTCAAGGCACTTGGGACATACCACAATTCATTCTCATACTTTTATGTTTAATATTTCTGAAATGAAGATGCACCTTACGCTTAGTAACATCTTGACATTCTGTCATAGTTAAATTGATGGGTTTTTTTTTTTCTTCTTCTTCTTAGTGGCACATAATAGATTTGATGAGATATGGTGCTTGGTGCTCTCTCCTTTTGTGTTTTGCACTGTGTTCATCCTCTCCATTCTCATCCTGCTGCAAAATGCCCCTCCCTGAGGTTCCTACATATTTTCATACTTTAGTTTGTTTTTACAAATTTGTTGCCTAGGAAACCTCATGTCAATCCTCATCACTGGTAACCAACTTCTATTATAAACTTTGAGAAAACACAAAGTGTATTTTCTTTCACTTGTTTGTAAATCAACTTGCATATAGTTATATAAGGTTCTGTATGTAAAACACATTCACTTGTTGGTGCTAATTCCACTTCTGAAACAACATTGAAACTTAGAGTCTTCATAATTTTCCAGTGATTTTGGTAAAGGCTAAGTAAAGGACTGGAAATGCCAAGGGGTGGAAAACTTGTGTTATTACATACTTCCTCTTGAAAATACTCTGCTTACCCCATTGTCCTTTCCCTCTTCCATAGCCAAACAGCCTCAGACAACATTGCGGAATATGCTTGCGTAGCCAACAGGCCCCGTGCGGGTGAGGGCAGGGTTTGGTCTCTCTTCGACTCATCTAAGTTATCCCTCGGAATCGAGAGCCAGAACACAGGGGGAGACTGTTACTGGCACCAGTACTAGGGACAGGGAGCATGACGACAAAAACAAGAGTAAACAGATGCGTGATGCTTCCCTTTCCCGGGGTGGACACAGGTGGACGTCTGTGCACAGTCCCTGATCGCCACAGCCATGCTTACCCCATCCGATCATTCGTTCGTTACCATGGTTATTTTTCTGCGGTAATCTGCCAGGTTAAAGACTTCATAAACTCGGAGCTCCTGGCGCAGCTGTATTCCTCCGAGGACCAAAATACGCTGATGGAGGAATCCGCCGAGCAGGCGCAGCGGCGGGACGAGATGCTCCGCATGTACCAAGCCCTCAAAGAAGCCCTGGTGATCATCGGCGACATCAACACGGCCACCGTGTCCACGCCGGCCCCGCCCCCGGTGGACGACTCCTGGATACAGCACTCGCGCAGGTAGGAAGCCGGCCCGCCGCCCCGAGGCCTGCTGTGCCCGCAGGGTCTTGCTGAGAGAGCCTTGCTAACCCGCGGGACCCTGGAGGAAAAGCTGCTCGCGTCCAGGAGTTAGTTAGCAACCCCTTCAAGGCCCAGCACAGCGCGGCCTTTCCGTGGAGTGTCAGGCAGCCAGTGAACAGAATGAGACAATTCTATTAAGTCCTGAAATGAAAAGACAATCGAGTTAAAGCTTAAAAAAAAAACAAATTATAGAACACCGTGTTTACGATGTGTAAAATGCAATTTATGTATAGAGAGGAAACCCGCACGTGCGCAAATGCAGAATCTAGTCTCAAAGGATGCGCAAAGAAACTGGCACAGAGCGAGGGGGCGGCGGGAGGGAGACTGTTCGCCGTCTAATCTTTTATAACTTTTGACTTTCACAACACGTATCCGAGTTACGCAATCAAAAGATACTTTTGAAAGAGGAGTCAGGAAGCTATAACACTTTCTTAAAGACTAATTCACGTCCAAAGCGGGCGAACTACGATTTGTCTCTTTCCTCAGGTCGCCGCCTCCGAGCCCCACGACCCCAAGGAGGCCGACGCTGAGCGCGCCCCTCACCAGGCCCACGTCCGGCCGCGGGCCCGCGCCCGCCATCCCCTCCCCGGGCCCCCACTCGGGGGCGCCCCCGGTCCCCTTCCGGCCGGGCCCGCTGCCGCCTTTCCCCAACAGCAGCGACTCCTTCGGAGCCCCGCCGCAGGTGCCGTCGCGGCCCACGCGGGCGCCGCCCAGCGTCCCCAGGTAAGGCCGCGGCCGTCGGCGGGGTGCGCTTTGGTTCTCTTCTCGTAGCACGACAGACAGAATTTATTTGAAAAAGAAAACTGCAAGGATCTTATCATACATGTTTGCAACTTTCACACTGGAGGGGGACCAAAGGCAAACTGCCGAGCCTGTTCCACCATTTAAACACCGTCTGTGGTCATTAAAGTTTCCCATTTATCAACTGGCACAAAATAGGACCAAAGAAAACTGGGTCCCAGTGAATGACATTTTGGCAGCTGTTGGCAGAATTTGACTGAGGGCTTTGAAACAGAAGAGCTGTGGCTGGCTTGTGGCAATCTGTGTGCTCCCTAGGTCATGGGAGTTTCGTGGGCTCCCGCCTGGGCTTCTCCATTACCGGAGAATTCTAGAAAACCACTGACTTAAGGAATTACCCATCTGCCCTCTGAACTGTGATCCTTATACTGAATATTACCGTAATTTTAAGGTAGCCTGAATGAAATCCAGCTGATTGATCTGCAATTTTTTAAAAAAACTATGCATAAAAATTTTAACATAGACATAATGATTGCTGTGTGCAGTCACTAACCATACATGAGATAGCACATTGTGCATTTGAATAACACATTTTGACAATAATAAGCAGATTGTCAGGCCTACTCATGAAACAATATAGCTAATAAATAATGGAACTGCAAACATATAGTTGAAGCAATATTCTCACCTTCATACATCTATAGTCAAAATATATACATTGAGTATAATCACAGATTTTTAAGGTATACAGTACTAAGGGATTTTTCCCCTTCAAAATCAGAAATTTAAAAAGGAAAGAAAAGTATCCCATAAAGTTAATTTTTTAAAAATGAAATTCAGAGATGTACAATATTCATATGTTCCATGGACAAAAGTCTGACTAGTACACATATTGCAAAAACAGAACTCACTGCCACCCGCCCTGAAGGCTGAGTCGCCTCATCCACTGATCGTGGCGCATACACTTTATTTTGATCTTCAGCTCGTTGGGTGTAATGAAGAGAAAAAGGGGGACTTAAACTAGTAAACAAAGGGTGGTGGAGCAGGAGTAGCTGGAGATTTACAATCAGAAGACCTGGGTTGCTGCAGATCTCAGGCACCTTATTTAGCTCTGGTACAGGAGTTTCTCATCCTTGAAATAGGGAAAATTCAACAAGGTTGTTGCCAGATCGTGTGAGATGAGGTATTTGAAAGAGGGTGACAAACTATAGACTGTGGTTGGGCCGGGTGCCGTGGCTCACGAGCCGTGTAATCCTAGCACTCTCGGAGCCCAAGGCGAGAGGATCGCTTGAGCTCAAGAGTTCGAGACCAGCCTGAGCAAGAGTGAGACCCCGTCTCTATTAAAAATAGAAAGAAATTAGCTGGGCATGGTGGCACATTCCTGTAGTCCCAGTTACTCGGGAGGCTGAGGCAGGAGGACTGCTTGAGCCCAGGAGTTTGAGGTTGCTGTGAGCAAGGCTGATGCTACAGCACTCTAGCCCAGGCAACACAGCAAGACTTTGTCTCAAAAAAAAAAAAAACTTCAGTTGTTACTACTATCATCATCACTTTGGTCCTAATCAAAGAGGATATATATCCTCCCAATCCCATTTATTTCTCTAAATTCAACAGGCTTAGCTTACAATTTATTTGGAACTGAGCTAAATTTCTGGTACTAATAGTAATAGCCAACATTCGTTGTGCTCTCAATATGTGCTAGGCATTGTCCTAAGAGCTTTGCTTGTACGTTTTTGCGTAATGTTCACAACAACCCAGTAAGACAAATTATTATCCACCTTTTACAGATGAGGCACCAAGGTTAAGCAACGTGCCCACAGCGGTCCCTGGTGGAGCTGGCTTCCATACCAAGCAGTCTAACTCCAGAACCAGTCTCCCAGCCGTGGCCTCCAGGCTTCTCAGCCTCCTCACTACTGACATTTTTGCTGTGGGGGCCTTTCCTATCTATTGTAAAAGGCTTAGCAGCATCCCTGGCCTCGACCCACTAGAAGTCAGTTGCACTCTCCCAGCTGTGACCACTGAACATACCTCTAGCCATCGCCAGTGTCCGGTAGGGGAGTAAATTCCTCTCCACTTGAAAACCACTGCACCACAGTATTCAAAAGAATTTCCCTTCCGCATAACAAACATGAATTTCAGCATTGAGCCTCGCTATAAGAAAGATCAAATTTATTGTTTTAGAAAACCTCCGATTGACTTAGAAGGTGTCTGTCATCGTGCCAGGAAGGTATGGAGGCCACTGGAAGAGGGGGAGTTGACAGTAGGAGGGCGGGAGTCCATGCAGGACCTGTGTCTGTCGAGCTATGAGAAGGAACCAGAGCAACCTGGTGCTGCCCATCTCGGGAATGAACATGCATGTTTTGCCTGCTTGCTTGACTGCTCTCCCTCTCGGTTTGAGAAAAGCTAGCTTGCCAGTACCCTTCAGAAAAATCAACTTTTGAATGATTTGAATGCTAAATTGATTTGTTAAGCGGGGTGGAGTTGCCCTGGGTATTTCCAAGCTCGCATGCACGGGCAGCCGGGCGAGAACCGGTAGCCTGAGCCGGATGGCGGAGCCCCCGGGCTTAACGAGACTGCGTTGGGGCATTTATAAGACAACGGTTGCGTTATTTGAAATTTCTAGAATACCTCAAGTTAGAACCAGACTTAACTTGATCTGGCCTTGCAAAGAGTACCAAATTTAAAACAGAAATGAGAGCACAGAGTAAGAGGAAATTTGGTTGTTTTGTGCTGAGACTTGTTGTTTCCCTGCCAGTTCAGCGCACTGGGAGGGAAATCCCAGGGGTGAGGGGTGTCACCTGAGAGAGAGCAAGAAAGCCTCTGTCAGGGTCCCTATGCCTGTTAAAATTTAGCTTTAGATGGAGAATTCTGACCACATAAAGTCTGTTTTTAATAAAAGCCAGAGCAGGAATCCTACCAAATACAAGCCAGAAATGGGGTTTAGGATTTCAAAAAAAGAGAGAGAAAGAAAGAAAGAAAAAAATTGAGGGACGCTCTTGTTGAAACTTCACCTTGTTCTATTTATTTATATATTCGCTACTCCCTTCGTGATTTACTTCCGTTTTCTCTATTAAAAAGTTGAAATGTCATTATCCATCATCTCCAGGAAAACAACCCTGAGCTTTCAGAGAAGGAAGTTTGATTTTTTCCCCCCCAAGTTCTTTGCTTTCTTAAGGGCCCTTTCCCCTCTTTTATCTGAAACCAGAAACTCATGACGTGACAAGACAGCACAAAAGGTGTCCCACCAGCTCCCGGTTGGGCTTTAATATTACAAAGGCAATAACTGGACTTTTAGAGGCAAGAGATTCTGCCGTTCAGCATGTGCCTGTGCTCAGTTTTCTTCTGGATAATTCGTGACTTCATTAGCAAGTTATGATCTTGAGTTTTAAGAGCATATATATTTTTATGTTACCCCTACTCAAAGGTAATCAAAGCACTTACAATTGTACAGAAACCATGAGTGTTCTACTTTTTTAAAAAGTATCATTATTGTATCTTTCCATTCCAATATAAAGGGAGAGGAAGGAGAGAGGTGGTGGAGTCATTTTTGGCCCAGCTGCTCAAGCGGTTCTGGTTTATGTGCATGGAGCCTTTTTTCAGCAAGGGATCTGGAATATTGCAAACTCCATGCCTGTTTTAATTAATTCCACTTGAACTAAGGGAGCATCTTTATCCCCAAGAGACTCACTGGTATGGATGCTTCTGTCATTAGTAAGTTGAGTATACACAAATCTGGTATTTGGGGGACATTTTCTCTCGCCAGAATATCCACATCGTCCCCTACCCGCCCACTTCCACTCGGCTTTTCTGAAGGGGTTAAACCTTGTTTGAAAATCCACGCCAGTGTGTATTTGTTTAGCAAGATGATCTTAAACAGCCCTCACCACCTCTTTAGGGTCACTATCCTCTTAACTGAATTTCCTAATCTCCATCAGACATTAACTTTAGAGCTGATGTAGCTATTTTCAGTTACAGCTTCTTAAAATTAGTTAATTGGGAATCATAGCCTTTGATATTAACAGAACAAATTAACTGAATCAGAGTGTGTTTTTCCTGGCAATAACCGATTCTGGCATTATTTCACTCATCTGTCTTCCCCTCTTTCTTCGGACTAAGCTATTTTGCAATGGTCAAAAGGGGACAGGGTGGGAGGAAAGGTCTCTCTCTCTATCCAAGGAAGAACAAACTTGATTTACCTCATCACTCAATCTTCCATTCAGAAAAAAAAAAAAAAAAATGAAAAACAGAAATACTTTCTTTTGACCACACTTGTTCACCAAGTCCAATGGTATCTTTTAAAAATAGCAAAACTGAATCTGGCTTTAACTCCAGCTCATCTGCATGACAGAAACCAACATGGAAACCAAGAAACGCTCCACTGACAGAGTCTCTGGTGAGCCCCACGATGAAGCTGATGCCCCGCACTGCGCGGACAGCCCCAGGGTCCCCAGGGTAGCATCAGGATTAGCCCAGAGTCTCCCACTATGTCCACGCCCTGATGTGGTTTCCTTGGCTTCACGTGGCACACTGTAAGACTCGCAGTCCCACATTTTCAGTAATTTATTACGAAATCAACCATGCCAAAAGATTTATAAATCTTTCTAACTAAAGAGCCAATCAATACACTTATAGTCTTTTCTTTACAAAGATAAAAGCCCTTTAGGTCTCCTAACAATTTGATTTTGTTTTCAATGTTTGACCTTGACGGCTGGCAGAGCTACATGTCTTTTACGTATTTTACAGGTTGATATCATTGACAGTTAATACAGAATCCCCTTCACTTAGGGATAAGGTCTTCTGGTTTTGTTTTTTTAGCCAGTCCCCCAAATTTTGAATAAGGACAAACCCACAGTTCTTATGAGTGTGTCTTTGCATCCCTCACATCAAGGTTTGGTGCCATGAAGGAGGAAGCTGCTGAGCCCTGAAGTCGTGGGCTAAGGGACGGACAGTTAAGCAACTTGTGTGACTAGCCTGTCTCTGATTCCCCT